ACGACAGCAAAACTGGGCTTGGAGTCCAAGGCAGGAACAGCATCTTGTTCCGGGACGGCCCGCAAGATAACATTCTGTAAGATGGGATTCGAAGTTTGACCACCGACTGCGCCAACTGGCAGGGACTCGTTGTCTGAAGACTTCAGCTGGGAAACCATAACATTACCAATAAGTCCCAACAAAATATACAAGTATTTCCAAACTAAAAGTAAATTTACATGTCATACCACGAGGTTTGCATATAAGTTCGGCTGGAGAAAATCAAATATTATGTTGTGTCCACAGAGTGATCAAAACGAAGCACCATAAATTTATAACAATTGAAATCGCTTCAACCAAAAAACGAGAACAACCACGACATAAACTAAGAATAACTTGAATTGCTCCAACCGAAAAATGGGAAGAGGAATTGAACTACGAAGAAGTTATCAGATGACACGGCTTGTGAGAGGCAAATAATAATCATTTTACAAATCATAAATACATTAACATGGCTCCATGTAAATCCACACAATGAAAATTCTTCAGATTTTTTATGGCATAATCATCTATTTTCAAGACTGTTCTTCACATTTTCTTTTATTTTTCCTTATCTTTGTCATCTGTTTGCTAATCTGTTGACTTTTAACACACGGTTAGTTAGTTACATATACACAAACACATGAACTTCAGTACTTGGATTTACTTAACAGTTCCCTGACAACGGTGCAATTCGAATCTTTTTCGTCCAAAATCCATAAGAGTACTATGATTATGTAACAACAAATAACAGCAAAAAACATATACACAAACACATGAACTTCAGTACTTGGATTTACTTGAGAGTTTTCTGACAACGGTGCAAATCGAATCTTTTTCGTCCAAAATCCATAAGAGTACTATGATTATGTAAAAACAAATAACATCAAAACCCATAAGAGTGCTCAAAAACAGCGCCAGCAGACGGCATTACTCCATAGACTCGATTGTGGGCACAAAATAGGAACAAAAGCATATAATCCTCCAATTAATCCTATCAGAACCGATAATTAGAACAGCAATTAACCATCAGAACAACGCCGATGACCATGCACGGCCATCAATCACGGCAGCACACACACATATATACAAAATCCGGCGCAAAAGGAAAATAAATATTCTAATCGAACAGAGACCAAATAAAACAAGAAAAAGAAGAAGAAACATTTACTTTCTCGGAGGGTTTCATGGTTTTTGTCTTCGAAGGTTGTCTGTTCAGGCCTTTTTGTGGACGGCCGATCGTCGTCGTAGGTTTAATGCACTCTTTGTTTGAAGGGCAGCAGCGCCATGAACTATACTGGAGAAATAAATAGGTAAAAGCAATTTCCTTTCATAAATAATAGTTGGTCTTTTCTTTTCTAAATAAGATTTTTTTTTTTTAAGATTTCGTTTAAAGAATAGTGGTCTCTTGGTTGTAATTTATAATTTTTATTTAGTTTTTTTTTTTTT